GCTGAGGTCCAGGCTATTTCTTCTTTCTATACCTCATCCTCATGTGGGTAGGCTGACCCTGGCCGATCTTGGCATTCGAAGACTTGAGTCCAGGTGTCTACACTTTATTAATGGGTCACCTGACTCCTCAGAACCTTAGTTTATTTGTCTGTAAGATGGAGTGCGTTATCCTGGCACTGAGGGGGTGGGGGTGGGATCAAAGGGGGTCAGGCGTGGGAAGGTGCCATGTTTGGCACTGATACCACTTAGGTGTTGTGTAATGGTGTGATGTCATTGGCACATTGGCAAGGAGAACTGTGATTGGGGACCTCAAAGAGCAAGGGTGAGAAGTCCACAGGACCTGCTGCCATCCACGCGGTTGTGTAAGGAGGCAGGGCTGCATGAGCACTAGTGAAAGATGGCACTCGGTTTTCTTCCTGCCTTTGCTTAGCCCAGGAGGAGGAGGTTTCTCACACCGCTCATGATGCCAACTCTGAGGACGGCCCCCTGGGCTCAGCATGAGCCTCCACATCTCCCTTACTGCCAGCCACGCTTGAACTCCCTTTGATCCATCCTCCCTTTGATCCATCCTCCCTTCCTGCCAGCCACGCCTGACCTCCACAGATCCACCCCTTTGCTCCAAAGTAGGCGTGGCAAACTCAGTGCCACACAGTCCAGGCAATAGGGCATGGTGGGGTCTGTGGCCAAGTGGGAGAAAGTATGCCCAAATTTTGACAAAGAGATGGTCATTGCTCAGCTCCAGCCTCTTGGTACCAGTGCTTCTGATTTTTAAAGGAGAATTGGGAAATTCACAATTTCATACCAAATGTCTTTATTTGTTAAACATGGCTTAGCCAAGCATGCTGTGTCTATGTATCATCTACCCACCCCTTCCAGCCACTAGGTTGTGTTCTCGGCTCCAGTCTTGGTCCTGATCAACCTACAGACACTTCCGGAAGAGAGTTCTTGTATCTATCTTAAGACAGTAACAGTACAAATTCCAGAGCAAGAATGCCTGGGTTCAGTACAGCTGCCTGGTTCTGTGACCTTGGGCAAGTCACTTAGCCTCTCTGAGCTTCTGTTTCCTCATCTATAAAATGGCATGCTCTACTGCTCTAGTAATCAGATTGATTGTGACTACGATTATTATTTCTCTCTCTTTTTTTAAATTTTTATTGAATCATCATTGATTATACATATTTTGGGGATTCAACATTGACATATGTTGATCAAATCAATATTACTGGCATATATATTGTTACAAATCATACTTATTCTTTATGCCCCTTGTCCAATCTCTCCCTATCTCCCTCCCCCTCCCCCTCTCCCCTCTAATTACCCCAGATTTCTTCTCTCCTTCTGAAAGAGTAACGGTTACTCTGTTGATTTGTTGCCTAGATGATCTGTCCAATGCTGAGAGGCATGATCAGGTCCCCCAATATTATTGTAGAGTAGGTGCTTCTTCTGTCACTCTGGAATGGGCTTTGTGGAGAGAGACATCCTCTTCTTTTCTTTGGTTTTTGCTGGTGACTGTCCTTGTGTCAATGCACTCCAGTGGCTGGTGGACCATCTGCATGGTGGCTGTGGCGTCTAGCCACTTTTTTGGCAGCTGTGGTTATTGTGGTGGCTGTGGTGGGTCACCCACGTGGAGGTGATGTTTTTGGCATTCTCCTTGGCACTGGCAGTGTGCCGGGTTGGGGGGTTCCAGTCCCCAGCTCCATACCTTGGGTCCCTGGGCAGGCCCTGAGGCACTGGTTGTGTGCCTGGTTGTGAGAAGGGTTCTGGTCCCTGGATCCATACCTCAGATCCCCAGGTGGGTCCTGAGGTGCTGGTGGTGTGCCTGGGCCAGAACAAATTTTTTGTCCTCTGCTTACTTCTAAAATTGGGCAACTTCCTGTGGGGACCAGGACTTGAGCTGTGTGGTTTAGCTAAATTGCTGCTTTGGGGCTGGCCCATGGCTCACTTGGGAAAGTGTGGTGCTGATAACATCAAGGCCATGGGTTCAGATCCCTGCATAAGGATGGCCAGTTAGCTCACTTGGGAGAGCATGGTGCTGACAACACCAAGTCAAGGGTTAAGATACCCTTACTGGTCCTCTTTATACAGGGGGAAAAAATTGCTGCTTTGCTGCTGATTCCCTAGGGAAGGCTTTTTGTGCAGCTCAGTGTTTAATAGTTGACCTTATAGGTACTTCCAACTCTCCAGAGACCCAGTGCACCTGGGTTGTGTAGAAACTCTGATCTGGGCCTGAGTCATTTCATCAAACTGCACCCCATGCAATTCTATATTCCTGACCAGTCTCCTCTGAGTTGTTCTTCATCTGTCCTTGCTGTGCCGCACTGTTCCCCCGGTGGGCCCATTTCCCCACTGCCTGGGCTGCAAACACTTCCCATGGGATAGGCTGTGTGCCGGTCTCTTGCAATGACTCACCAGCCTCTGAGTGGCTCCATTTCTTCAGTTGTTGTGGCTCCTTTGTGGGTCCACAGGAACCCTGTTAGTGGTCTTGCTGGCCAGAGTGCCACCAAGGCCCTCTTCTCCCCTGCCACATCCAAGCAACTCCATCTGAAGGACACAGCTAGGGCTTCTGCTGGCTCCTTCTGCTGGCTCCTTCTCCATGTGCTCACCAGCTTTAGCCTTAAAGTGGCCAGAGCACGAAATGGTCAGAGCAGTTTTTTCTTTCTCTCATCGTGGCTTCTCCCGCCTTCATGCACTCCGTAGGCCTCCCCTCCTCTTCCTCTGAGCTCTAGCAGCCCCAGCTTGGCTGTTGTTGCTTTTTATAGTTGTAAATTTGTTGATTTGTGGGAGAGGTGACACTGGAGACTGTCTATTCCACCATCTTGACCAGAAGCCTTGACTACAATTATTATTTCCTTAAGGAGAATCGAGTATCTGTACAGAGAGTTGGTTAAGTGTAGACTCTGGAGTCAAATAGAGTTAGATTCAAATCCCACTTCCGCCATTCACCTGAAGCTGACCTTGAGCATCATTTAACGCTCTGAGCCTCAGTGTCCTGGTTTGTAAACTGATGAATGGAAATAATTCCTCCTGCTTACGACTGTTGTGAGGATGAGGTTAACCGATGTCTGTGAAATGCTAGCACAGTGTGTCACATGGGGTCCTCATTAAGTGGTAGCCATTGTGATCACGCTCAAGCTGGTGAGTGGGCGGCAGGAGGCTGCAGTGGTCGGGGTGTGGATGTGGAGGGATTCTTCTGCGTGGGATCCAGGTGAGTCTGAGAAAGAGGAGCTGGGGAGGCCGGGATAGGGAAGGGAAACAGGCCAACACTACCGGTGTGAGGGCGCCAGCCCTCCCAGGCAATGCTTAGTCCGTAAAAGAGACACCGTTTCTCCCCTCTGTGTGAGGTCTGAAAGGGCTGTGTTGCCGTGGGCTGGCAGACGACACAGAGGCAGCTGTGAAAACACGGTGAAGGAGCGAGGGTCCCTCCAGGACAGGTGGAGTTGTGAGAATGGCCCTGACCTCTTCCACTGCTCCAGAGCCCAAAGGGCATCTTAAGAGAGGCAGGACCACCCTCACATTTACCTCCTTGGAGGTGAAAGCATGCACCGCAGACAGGCCTGCCCCCACCTGCTCGCTTCCTGGAGGCAGGTGCCTGGCTCCCCTGGAGTCCCCTGCAGTCCCTCGTCATCTGCCATGGCGGCAGTGCTCAGTATGCACCTACCGAGCAGCAGGTTGCAGGCACTTGTTGGGGTCATACCCATTCACTCTATAGCATGGGAACTACGTTTCCCGGGCTGCTTTGCTCTCCCACTTCCTAGTAGAGGTTCAGCCAATGGGAAGCCCTAGTGGGAGATCAGCAGCAGGATGAAGGGGGAGGCTGGAGAATTCCTCCCCATCTCCCTTTGCGTCCTGGGGCATCCCTGGCAATGACTCACGCTGGGGAGCCCTCCCTCTGTGATCCTGCCTTATTCTGGGCAGCTCCAGTTTCCGGCTCTGGATACCTCCCATCGTCCTGCCATCCGCCAATTGCTGTTGATAATCTCTGGGTGGTCTCACCCTCCCCTGCTTGGCTTCTCAGCTCCTGCAATGCCTGTGTGTCCAATTCCCAGAACTAAATTACCCCAGTTTGAAAGACCTGGAGAGGTTCCTGTTTCCTGGCTGGGCCTGGCTGATACAGTAGCTAATACCTACAGTGCATGCTTCATGGACAAACACACTCAAACTCAGAGGCCCTGTTCTTAATTCTCCCTAATGGGACGGGGGGTGCGTGTTCTGGGTGGTCTAAAGCACCCTGAACCAGAAGGTTCAGACCCACTACTGGCCGATTCCAAAGCTCCCTTCTTTCCTACAACATGTTGCCTTCGGTTAAGGAGCACATTGGTGAGTTCACACTGAAGATTCACAGTTGCATGTCTCGTTCTATTTCCGTCTTGCTTCCACCCCCTACTAGGTAAGCCATTTGGTCCCTCTGAGCCTCAGTTTCCCCCTCCATGATATTGGGGGTTGGGGATTCCCCAAAAGGAAAAAAAAAGCAAGAGGAATTGTTTTTCTTCTGACACTGAGGGGATGACCAGCGGCTTCCTGGAGGAGGCGGCATTTGAACTGTTTGGTCTGTTGGGAATCTGCAGCAGGATGTAGCAGCTACGAGTACACTCAGCAGTCAGACCACCTTTGTGGGTGTGGAGCTTGAGTGAGTGGTCTTGGCTCATTCCTTATCCTTTCTGACCTCAGGACCCCCACCTGACCACTGGGGTCCCCAAGAGCAGTGGAGCAAGATGGTTAAGGCACAGGCTGTAGGGCCAGCCTGCCCTGCCCCTCGCTGACTGGCTGAGTAACTTTGGCCGGGACTTGATTGCCCCGTGGCTCAGTTTCCCCATCTGTAAAATGGGAGAAGATCGTCCCTGCCTCACAGGGACAGTGGGAGGGCTGCATGGTTAATGCATGTGAGATTGTTGGCCTAGCGTGTCTCCCTTGCTTACTAAATGGTGCGTAACAAAAGAATGCTTTTATGTCATCGGGGACTTCTTGGCTCCTGACCCCCCGGTTTTCCTCCCTGCCTGCAGCCGCCACCTTCATGGAGCACTGGAAGCGGAAACAGATGAGGCTCAATTACCGCTGGGACCTCACAGGCTTCGAGGAGGAGGAGGTCAGTGGATTTGGCGTTTGCAGCCCTCCCCCTGTGTGTCCCCACCCTGTTAGTCCTCCGGACTCACGTGGAAGCCTGAGGTCATAAAGTGCTCCTAGTGCAGGCGAGGCAAGGCCACCCCCCCGCCTGCTTCTCCGTTCACCTCCCTGGTGTTCCAAATGCCCTCAGTTGCCAGGGCGACTGTTTTATATCTGCTAAAGTGTTTTTGATCTCAGCACTCACATGGACACGCCACCCACCAGCGTGGTCTCAGGCGCACGCCAAGGCTCACCATGCTGACCTCTTCGCGTCCAGGGGTGCAGCCCGGTGTGTGTGGGGAGGGAATGCCGCTGCCCCCAGGTCCCCAAAGGCAGCCATGAGCATTTGCCCCCTCAGGTGCCAAACCCGCACTCCTCAGAGCCAGCTCTCTGCCTGCAGTTGGGCGTGGCTGAGAAGTGGGACCAAACAAAGAGTGGGACCTCTTTACTAACAAAGAGGGGGATCCAGCGCTGGGTATCTTTGTGTTCCAAAGAGAGGGACATTCAGTATCAAGTGGACGCTGGGATGCCAGGTGAACCGCTGTCCTCAGGATCGCCCTAATTGCCGGTTCCAGCAGGAATTCCCTGTACGATGGTGGGAATGAAAAGGAATAAAGGTCCCCACAACAGCCTTGGCCAGAGCAGAGGTGGCCCCATGCACGTGCTGTAGGTGTGCCACACTGCCCACCACGTAATTTTATAAAACTTCATGCCCCTTTTTTAAAGAGGAACCTCTCGTGCATTTTCCCTGTGATGTGAAAGTCTCTTCCATCCTCTTTTTTCTAATCATTCCTGTCGTATTCCCTCACACAAGCACTCTCTCTTGAGAATGAATTGATCGGTCACTCTTCGGCCAAATGTGTAGTTCAGGCAGAGAAGCCGGCGTGCCAGCTCTGTGCTGACAGGGTTGTTAGTAGACAGGGGCCTGGAGTTCACGGGGAGAGGCGCGGCGGCTGAACGGGCATGAGATGGGCCTCTCTGCGGCCGGGCTGCCCGGATTCCATCCTGAGTTGGCACCACCCCCACTGTGTGACATGGGGCAAGTCGCTTCACATCTCAGTGCTGCTGCGTCCTTGCCTCTCAAATAGGCATTGAGGGGTGGTCCTGCAGGGTAGTCCTCACTTGATAAGGTGTCAGGGTCTTAATGGGTCAATAGACATAAAACTCTTGGAGCAGGGTCCAGCACACAGTAAGCGCCCCATAAATGGTCACCCAGCTAGCCACCACTGGGTCGTACCTGTCACCCGCCATATAACAGTCTCGACCCTCTTCCACAGGGGTCTCATTATCCAGTTTCACAAAAAACCAGACTGATGCAGCCTGTCCACTAGCAGGCAGCTCTCCAGGGGCAGAGAGGGACGGACCCTGGTGCTCTGTCCCCATATGAGCTCCCCAAAGTGATCCACCCCGTGCCCCCATGGCCAACCACGGAGTTAATAGCCTCAGGTGAAGGGGCTGCCTCTCCACCCATCTGAACCCCAGGCTTTGGCACTCGAAGCCGAGGGCAGCTTGTGCCTGTGTCATTCGGCCTGTGTGCTCCTGAGCTGAGCCTGAGAAGTTTCAGTCCAGCACGTGCTCGGGAGTTTCCAAAAACATGGGAGCTGCGAAAGCAACAGCCCTCACGGTCGTGCTAAAGTAGCAGTGGCCTCTGACAGATCCTGGAATCTCCCATACCCACCCCACCCCCTCCTCATTCCCCACCCGTGTCCATTTACCTTTGTCCCGGTCCTTAAGAAAATTGTCTTTGGAGGATGTGTCTTCTTCAGAAACAACATAAGTAATGAGATCTTTGTGTTTTTGTTTTTACTTTTCTGGTTCCCTGAAGGAGGCTGTCAAGGTTTGGAACTTTTTGTCACTCCTCTGTCTTCCCGTAGCCTGCCTCCCTGGGAGAGGGACCCTCTCACGCGCCTGATCCGTCTCTTTCTAGCTGTGCAGTTCCCCGCAGCTCCTACACCACGGGCGGGGTCTCTGCTTTGTCCCCCACCTCTGGGTCTCTCTTAACCCGTTCTTCCATTCCAGTGCCCTTCGCTGACCCACTCGGGGCTCCTCTGAGCCTGGCACCTCTGGTCTGCCTACGCTTGCTGATATTTACTGCGTCTCTTCCGACCCCCACGGCTCCTCCATAGAATGTTCTCGGGGCCAGTTCATGGCAGGATGTTCACCGCAGCCTGGCACAGACCCATCCACCCCCAGGACACAGAGGCCAGCTTCTGTGGCCTTCCCAATGGGCTGGGGTTCCCAACAAGGGGAAGAATCCTGGGCCGATCTCCTGACCAAATACAGGGAGTTCTAAATTGGGAATGTTATAAGCAGCCGACCATGGACTGGCCCCGAAGGGTGCCCAAGGCAAATGCACACACTGCTTTGTCAAGGGTGCTGAGAATCCTGGGCCGATCTCCTGACCAAATACAGGGAGTTCTAAATTGGGAATGTTATAAGCAGCCAACCATGGACTGGCCCCGAAGGGTGCCCAAGGCAAATGCACACACTGCTTTGTCAAGGGTGCTCACGTTAAGGATACCAAACTCACAATTAACAAGGCCTCCATGTTAACTCGGTTTCTTTCACAGGATCATCCCAGAGCCGAATATGAAGCCAGAGTCTTGGAGAAGTCTCTGAGGAAAGAATCCAAAAACAAAGAGGTACGGTAGCCGCTGCCAGTTTGCTCTCCTGGCAGTAAAATACTGTGCTCAGCAACAGTGTAGACCAGGGGTCAGCCCAGACAGCAAATATTTTAGGCTCTGGATGTCTATGTTGCAACTCCTCCACTCTGCCATCGTAGCGTGAAAGTAGCCATAAACAATAGGTAACTAAATGGGCCTGGCTGAGTGCCAATAAAACTTTATTTACGAGAACAGGCAGGGGGCCAGATTTGGCTGAAGGGCTATAGTTTGTCAAACCTGCTACGTATCTATCTTCTTGATGTATGTTGAGGGTGATCTCAAACTTCAGCAAGCTTTTCAACAGCAAGAACCGTAGCTTTGAAGCTTTTTGTCAGTACACAAAATCTCGATCCTGTCCACCCTTGTGTTCTATGTTGAACAATGAAATGGAAGCATTTGCTAAGCTGGGGTCCCTGAGCACATGGCCAATTCCTTGTTTCACTCACAGACTATGAGAATGAGGGAGAGAAGTATTGTTTTTGTGACATTCTTGAGGCTGTCATCTTTTTATAATAAATGCCTTTTCCCCCAACTTCTCATTCAAATTGGCAGCTTTACATTTGCAGCCTGAATTCTCGCAGACCTCTAGAGGTGCATGGCTGTGTGGTTGACAGTGGTTTCCCCAGGACTTGGCACAAGGATGGAGCCCCTGGGCTTTGTCCACCTCTGGAGAGGTCTGCATTGGCTCTCAAAGGGATTAGAGACAGTGGAAGGAGCCTTTTCGGCCCCCCAGGCTGTGCTGTCACTTTCAGCCTCTGGGGACTGATCAGGGCAAATCCCTGGGCTTCTCTTTCCTTGTCATTGGGTCACATGGACAGAGATCACTGGTTCAGAGTGGCCGGATCACAATTGCCCAAATCACATCCGGGGAGGTAAAGTAGGTACTGTAGGAAGCCCCTTGCAAGGCCCAGCTCCTGTAACACAACAGAAATCTAGGATACAGCTCAGTCCTCCTGCAGCCAGGATGGAGCTGCACCTTCCTGAACACACCCTAAAGTCTGAGCAGGCCTCAAGGGTGCAAAGAAAATAACCACAAAAGCCGGAATTGTCACCCTAAGATAAAGAGACAATCTGTCCCACTTAACAAATCAGAGCATGCACATCCCTGTACACACGGCCTTCTGAGCAGCTGCGCTGTGGCTCTGAACTGGTCTCTTAGCCCCTCTGGACCTCATTTCCCACTGGTAAAGCAAGAGGCCTGACTCCGCCATCTCTGAGGCCCTGCAAGCCTCGTCCTGTTCTCAGGGCAGCATCTCTAGTTACAAGCCTGGCTCAAGATGTCTCAGGAGTCAGCGTATGGCCCCTGAGATGTTCCACCCTGTGGCTTTGTGGTTGCAGCTCTCAGGGCGAGAGATTCCATTCCTTCCTGAGGCTCAGGCCACACCCACGTAAGGCGAGGGACTTAACCAAGCCCAAATAGCAGACAAGGGCAGTGGGTGCCAGAAGCCACCTCTCAGACACACGGTCTCTGCCTCTGCGGCCTGCGCCTTGGTTTTGGCCCGAGCTCTGTGATGACATGGGAGCAGCAGAGGTGACGGGGTTTACTTCTGCAGGGCTCTGATGGTGACCCAGGCGCTGTCTGCTTCTGATGGGCCACACCCTTCATCTTCGCCTCTGGTTCATTTGGCTCCTGGTGGCTGCTTTATGGTTTTCATTTTTCCCCAGCTATGGCATTAGACTAGTTTATAAAAAAAGATCTAACACTTAATTGGCATATTAACTTGGACTTCTGGGCATGGCTTCCTTCTTGTCATCCTAAAATGCTCATGGTGACCTGCGTCTTTGTTCACTCTGTGCCATGGAAACCACAGTGACCTTCTCGGGGGACAGGCGTGACAGAGCCCCACGGAGAGCTCGTGCCAGAGTCTGTTCTGAAAGCCTCCATCTCCCGTGTCCGTGACCTCCCTTGTAGCCTTTCTTTTAGAATGAGTCCCTGCCCCTCTTATTTGTTTGAAACGCCCAGACCCCGAGCCAGCCCGGGCAGCCAGCGAGTGCACAGAGGGGCGCTGGCTGCCGAGGGGCGAGGTGTGCGCGGCCTGACGCTTCACCGCGCTGCTCTCTCTCCCCAACCCGCCCGCAGAAGCGCCGGCACACTGCGGAGGAGCCCACGAACAAATGGAAACAGAGGGTTAAGACAGCCGTGGCGGGGGTGAAATTGGTACTTCTCTATTTCGGGGCAACGCGCGTCTTGACTCTTTGCAGACAAAGTCCGTCATCATGTTTTTCCTCAACAAGCTCTGACTGTTGCATTATTTTTTAACATCACATCCGTGTTTCTTTGTCTTCCTTCCACATCCGCGAGTGCCCACGTGCGTGGGGGTGTCACTGCATGGCATGGCCTGGTGGATCCATGGGGGGTGCACTTCACCTGGAGCTCATGAAACATGCTTGTCACCATTGCCTGCGAGCGGTTCTTGGTCTTCTCATTAACACGCATGTGACCCACCCCCGGAATGAGAGGCCACCCATGGAATGTCCATGCCAGCATTCTGTGACTAATACCAGGGTTCTTCGAAAAGGCCATGGAAAAACAGTATTAAAAGATAACACAAATCTTTCTATGAACTTTCTAAAGACCCCTCGTCCATGCGTTTTCCTGTTTAAAAATCCACCCCCATTTGAAACATCGCAAGTTAGTGACGAGCTTCTGCCTAAGGTGTCTCCAGACCAAGCCAATCCTGGGCTGGAGAGCCCGCAGGCCGTGTGTCACCGTGGTGCGACGTTGCTATGCGGCAGACAACATTTTACCTCGTAATGCCAGTTGCTTGTTTTGACTTGCTCTGCAAAGGAAAAATAACTATTATGGCCTAGGTGCCAAATAGCAAAATGTCCCACGCCTTCTGGTCCTAGAAGTGAGACTTCCCGCTGGAGAAATGGATCTCAAGCTCAGGCTTCTCCCAGTCGTGGGTCTCAGTTTTAGGAAAGCGCTTGGCACCGCGATGCCCATGCGCAGAGGAGGCCTGCTTCTCAGCAGCTCCCCTGCCTCGGTTATGACGAAACGTTAGTTCAGGAGGGAGGCCCCTCACACTTCTTGGATCACTGGGTGTTTGCGTCCGCTCGCCACCCGCGGGCATTTTTAAAGTTTTTTCTGTGTATTCTGTTGTCCGAATCATCCATGCACGTGCACCCACACACAGATGTCTCTCCACTGTGGTGGCCCCAGAGGGTGACCCTGTGCTGTTTCATGTTGTAGACTGACAAGGTAAAGCTGACCTGGAGAGACCGGTTTCCAGCCTACTTCACCAACTTGGTCTCCATTGTCTTCATGGTAAGTTCTGGAAGACCAAGGTGGGGGGAAATCAGGGAAACCTATAAGAAGGTTGCTGAGACTGGGGTCAGCGGTGAACACGTCCCCTGGGGTGGCAGCCTTTTTTCCTTGGGGTGGTGGGTGGGAGAGATACCGAAAATGGGAACGGGCCAGGGTTCCACAGTGACCCTCGAGGGGGCTCCACACACCTGGGGGCACCCGAGATGATTTCAAGTGGTCCCTGATACGCAGCTTTCATTTTTGAGAGTGACATTTCAGTAACTAGTAATTCTAACCTAGGGTTCACAGATATCATTTAAGACAAAACTGAGGAGTTTTCTAAGAAAAACATTAAATAAATAAAACCCAGGAAAAATCTCATGATGGTGCTACTCAGGTGACCATGGGTCTGTGACGCGGCTTGTCAATGAACACCTTGTGGCTCTTAGGGAATTTCAGTCCCAGGGACTTTGACCCCAGATGGATTCACAGAGGCCCCAGAAAGCTTGCCCCATGCTACCTGTGCTTTTATCGAACCCCGAGTGATCAGGGCCACCTGCGGTCACATTGGAAACGACCGTGCCCTCGTCCAGCCTGAGAGGTTTAAGTGAGAGCCTCGTCTGGCCGCCCAGCTCCGTGGCCTGGCACTCAGGCGCAGGTTGGCCGCTGTGTGCTGAGGGCCTCACAAGGGCATCACACTCAGACTCACAACTGGCCAGTCCCAACACCATCCCCGTCCTGCTGATGAGGAAACTGAGGCTGCCAGCCCCCAAGAGGTGGGGAGCCAATGCCAGTTGGGCAGTCTGCTCCAGGAACCCTGCCATTGTGTATGAACTTGGAGAGACAGAGGCAGGGGGCTGTCTCGGTTTTCTGTGTTGAGTGGACGGCCAAGGGCCCCTAACTGAGTGAGGAAAAGCAGCGTGAGGACTCAGTTTCCCCTCATGCTCTCACACACAGTAAGGGAGACCTCAAGTGATGTAAAGAAATCAAGAAAAGGGTGGCCTCATCGGTGGGGACCCCCAAGACCACCTCCCTTCCCCCTAGAGAGGGAAAGCCACTGGGTGGAGGCTGGGAGGGCTGCTGCACTCTCCAGGCAACCCTGGGTGCGAGTGGGCTCAGCCAGGCATGGGGATTGGTGCTGAGGGGTAGCAGAGAATGACGTGGCCCCTGCCTCACCCAGCCAGGGACAGGGCTCCGGAAACAGCAGACTCAGGCAGCCACGTCTGCCCCAAGTTTCAGCTGCTCCTGGTGGAGAAGCGGCAGCATCAGCGGCAGAAGGACCAGTGAGCGGGTGGGAAGGTGGTGCGTGGTCTCGGGCTGCTCTGGAGGCTCCACGATGCACTCAGTGTCACTGGCTTCTGGGATCTTCTGTTCACCTGTCGTATATATGCGTCCTCTCTTGGTCACGACATGGCTGCTCCATCTCCAACATCACCTCCACTCTTCAGGCAGAAAGAAAGGGAAGGGCTAGAGGAGGAGACGGGTCAGCAGAGGCTGCCCCTCATCGAAGGTGCTTTGCATCTCATCGGTCAAAACCATTTCACGTGACCACCCCAATCTGCAGAGAGGCCCAGAAATGATGGCGTGAGGGCAGAGGGATATCGGGTAGGGAACTAGCCGGTCCCCCTTTTCCAGCCCTCGGTGTCCTGGTAAACCCCTGCCACAATTAAATCACGTGCGTGGGGCTGGTGAGGACACGGCTTTGCCCCAACTCAGCAGCTTCACCCAGTACACAAGTGTCAGCTAAGCACCTACGATGTGTCCATGTGGCCCTGGTCCTGGAGATGCTGGTGTAAACAAACCAGACAAACCCTGGCCCTCGGGAGCTTTCACCCAGAGGGGAGGCCACCTCCAGGAAGGGAGGCTGCTGTAGGGCTTGCCTGCCTGGGGCACGCGGGCCCTGGTGGGGAGGGGCAGCCTTCTGGGGTGGAGTGTCTCCCACGCTGAGTCAGCTGCAGGCCCAGTGCCCCATCTGCACCTCCACACCCTGGCATAAGGGATGTCTTTGAGGCCAGGGCAGTGCCTTTCCCAGGGAGGGGCCTTTTGGCAGAACCCAGGGCTTTTCCAAGGAAAACCCTCACTCCCAGAGTGGCCAGGGAGTGGTACCCATGCCTCAGAGCAGGGCTGCTCCTTCGTCAGGGTGTGGTGTGGGCTGCAGACGTTTTCCTGGGAGGGGTGTGGTCACCGTTTAGTCACCGGCAGATATCTGTAGAAGCCAGTTAATGGCATATGGCTGGAGGTACTGGCCCAAAGTTAAACAGTAAGAGCCTTCCTAGGAGACTTCTCAAGCCGAGGTCTCCCTCTGGGGTAGACAAACCACATGGGCCTGTCCTGGGAGTCACTCATGACCCTGTGTACAGGGACAAGGCTGCTCTCTGCACCCTTGCACGGGAGCAAACATGCAATGTCCCATAAGGAAAAAGAAAAGACAGACAGACAGACAGCTGCGTGCAGAACAAGCTTGTCATCGTAGCCAACTCCCACCCTGGTATCTCAGGCAACCACTAGCCCGAGACTTACAGAATGTTCTGGTCCCATAGTGGGTTTGGCAAGAGGAGGGGCTCACTCATGAGCCAGAAGGGTGTTGGTAGCTCCTCGGTATGTTGGAAGAAGGGACCCGGTCCATCTTTCAGCCAGACCTGCAGCCCTGCCCAGCTGGGATCGGGTCACCCCACCCCCCACCTTTAACAGGGCAAAGTCCCCGTGAGGTGGCTGGGAGAGTGGCACACCTCAGCTCAGCACTCCATCTGAGAATGTCACTGCTGCTCAAGGTCACCCCAGACTGGGGGTAGAAGTCCCCACCCAGTAGTCAGCCTGCTCTGGGACAAACCAGGACAGCCACTGGGGTGGCAGCCACACTGAGTCCTGAGCTCTGCTTGGGGATGGTGGGCAGTAAAAAAGACACATGCTTGGGCCCCACCACAGATGGCAGCAGAAAGAGCTTGTGAGCTTCCTGGTAAAGCCCAACTCCTGAGCCAGGTGACCCGGCCTGTCCATGTAACTTCTCCGAACTTCAGCATCCTCTTCCATAAAACAGAAACTAGCCCCTCGTTCATGTGCCTGTGGTGGGTAAGGACTCTGTCTCTTTGGTGGATGCTCAAGAGATGTCCGTCTTTGTTTCGAGGCAGAAGAGCTGGTGGGGGGCAGCCGGGGTGGGCCCCCACCCAAGAGTGCTGTTCCCCCTCGCAGGTCGCGGTGACGTTCGCCATCGTCCTGGGCGTCATCATCTACAGAATCTCCACAGCTGCCGCCTTGGCCATGAACTCCTCCCCCTCTGTGCGGTCCAACATCCGGGTCACGGTCACGGCCACGGCGGTCATCATCAACCTGGTGGTCATCATCCTCCTGGACGAGGTCTACGGCTGCATAGCGAGGTGGCTCACCAAGATCGGTGAGTGCCCTGAGCCGGCAGTCGTCCCTGGGCAGCGTGCCTGCCAGGCCAGTCACCTCCCGTGTGTTGTGTGACCTTGGGCTGATGACTTAACTTCTCGGGGCCCTGGCTCCCCGTGCATGAATGGGGTCCCCGCCAGGGCTGAGCGAAGTTCCAGTCCTCAGCATCGCCCTCCTTTGCCCTCTAGAGGTCCCAAAGACCGAGAAGAGCTTCGAGGAGAGGCTGATCTTCAAGGCTTTCCTGCTGAAGTTTGTGAATTCCTACACCCCCATCTTCTACGTGGCTTTCTTCAAAGGCCGGTGAGGATGGCTGCAGCCTCTCCCCAACCTGCTCTCCCAGTCCAGCACCAGGCTCCCCACTACCTATGGGGGGGGGGCTGAGGCCAGGCAGAGCAGTCACTGGGGAAAGGCCTGGCTCCTGCTGTGGGCCCAGAGCAGCGGGATCCTTGGGCAGCAGGGAGTCCAGGTGACGGAGACCCCAGGCAACAGGGATCCCAGGCAGCAGAGACCCCAGGCAGCAGAGACCCCGAGCAGCAGGGATCCCAGGCAGCAGAGACCCCAGGCAGCAGGGACCTCAGGCAGCAGAGACCCCAGGCAACAGGGATCCCAGGCAGCAGGGACCCCAGGCAGCAGAGACCCCAGGCAGCAGAGACCCCAGGCAACAGGGATCCCAGGCAGCAGAGACCCCAGGCAGCAGAGACCCCGGGCAGCAGGGACCCCGGGCAGCAGAGACCCCAGGCAGCAGGGACCCCAGGCAGCAGGGA